ATGATGGTGCATTTTACAATTGTTTCCACTCACGTCTTATCCAACAGGATACTCTCTCCCTCCTATGCCTACTTATAAAGGAAATCTGGACCTACTTTCAAGTTTAGTAGGTCCCTTTCCAAGCCATGAACCTCCACTAATATGTAATATATCACATGGATGGAAGTCAGGTGGTGGATTTCGAGAATTCAAATCTGGGCTGCAGATTCATACCAGTTCACTTTCGATATGGCTTCAAACACCTTGATCAAGAAATGGCATTAAGCCCCACAGTTTTTTTTTTGTTGGTGATGCTCAAATGATTTTAATATCTTTCTCAAAACAATGTGTGGAATAAATGAACATATTTTTAATGAGGTGAGTGGACATATGCATGGTACCATGTCAAAAATGCAATAAATGTTAAAGAATGACTTTGCATATGCTTGTTTTCATTTACCTCTTATTACGATTAGAATATTTTTATCTATTAACTCCTTCCTTATGAGCAATTTTTTTCATGTGCAAGATGAAGACAGAAGCATTTCCATCTGCCACGTTTTTTAAAGTGCAGACAAAGAGGAAGTTGATTTGGATGAGAGGGGAAGAGTGGAGGGAAGGGAGAACCATAATCAGGATATATTATATGAGGATAAAAACCATCTTCAATAATAGGAAAAATAAATAAAGTTCAATACAATCTAGAATGTCAAAAAGTACATTGGGTTCCTCTGCATTGTTAATGCTATCATTATTAGTAAGAGACCTGACAGTAATTATCCCATTGACCTCCAGAAGAGGTAGATCTCCTTATAATTATTTCTTTACTTCTCTTGACTCTAAACTTTTCTATGTTCTTTAAGTGAATTTGAGCAAGGATATTCTGTGATTTTAAGTTTTTTATTGTTTTTAGAATAGAAATAATGAATATTAATGACCTAGGCATTGAAGGTATAGATATGGAAATGACAGGAATGTTAATAATTCTAAATAAATATCAAACAAAATATGATTGACATTAAAAGTGTTCACTTGTGAAAGAACACAGAAAATAAATTATATTTGAGTTTGAAAGATATAAACTATATCCTCTGTAGAGTCTGCATCGTCTGACTTCTGTAATTTTTGGTCCAGTTACTCTTTTAGTGCTAACAAATTCGCTCGCTCTCTCTCTCTCTCTCTCTCTCTCTCTCTCTCTCTCTCTCTCTCTTCCTCTCTCTCTCGATAATTCCAGAATTGTGCTTAGGTCAAAGGCTAGAAGATACATGAACCAACACAACAAAAAGTCTTCATTTGTCTCAATCTTGGCCCTTCTAATATGAGAAACTATTTAAAATATGTAAAGTTAGTGAATACAGTAATTACCGAATTATTCAAGCCAAAAAAAGGAATTAAAGAACAAATTTTGTGTCTTTTGGTGATCATGATACCTGGAATAAGGGAAGAGCCTTTCTGACAGATCATCCAATATGACAACACAACATAATTCCATTATGTGAGAATAATAATAAGCACAGGAAAGCAGAATTTATCTGTTCCAAAATCAAAAGTTCTCCTCTTACCTTTCTTGCAAGGACAAGATGAGATAAAGGTTATTTTCTGCTTCTTATACTTTGAAATTTTTTAACCTATTGAAAATGCCCTCATACAAAGAATTTGCTGACAGTTATCAAGGGACAATCTACATTCCATAAAGATCCTTAACATAGCTGTATTGCACAACCTGTTGAGTGAGAGGTTCTCTGTCTAATTATTGATCACTTTACCCACAGGTCTGATCTTTGCTGGTATGCCCAGGTCCTTGTGAAAGCGAAAAGTCTGACCCCGTATAACTGATAACATTTTAGGATTGAATTCTGCTGTGTCACTTTCTGAAATCGAGAAACCAAATATGTGCAGAGACATTTCTTTGAGAAGGCTGTTCTAGTTTAGTTTTCTGTTGTGGAGGTAAAATATTGATGTATACAAAATTGGAAAGGAAAGGGTTTATTTCATTTTACAATTCCCAGATCATAATCCATCATAAAAGAAAGTCAGGGCAGAATTTCAAGGCATGAACCTGAAGTCAGAAAACGTGGATGAATGTTGCTTATTGACTTGCTTGCAGGCTCATGTTTACCTGCCTTTCTTTTACAGCCTAGGTCCACCTGTCTAGGGATGCTACCACTCACAGTTGGCTTAGCTCTCCTATGTCAATCAGCAGTCAAAAACACCCCCAAAGACAGGCCTGCAGGCAATTCTTCAACTGAATTTTCCTCTTCCTAGATGTGTCAAGGTGACAACAAAAGCTAAGTATGACAAATGCCTTAAGAGGTATAAGAAGTCTCTGCTCATTCCTGAACATTTCTTTAAGGTTTCTAGAATTTTAAATCTGGGTAAATATTTGAAAACATTCTTGATGCTCTTTATGCATGGGCACTACCAATTACCCAACATTTGTTGACCCTGCATGTTACTACTCAGCATTACACTCAATGCTTTCATAAGGCAGGACTTTGCTCTTCAATTGTAGTAAGAAAGTTCTAGATAAATAAAAGCCCATAGCTCAACGTAAGGTATATGCTAGAGAATGGACATTTATGTGCAATATGAGATGCCTTAGACTCCCCAAGGATCTCTATGGATTCATCCAAAATGGAGTCAGAAATGTCTTGCCTAGTCTTTACTTCCTTTCTGTTTTCTCTTTTCTAGTTGATGGGAGTCTGACATGAAGAACTTTTCTGCCAATCTAGCTGGCTTGATTTCATTAGTTTGATTTTGTGGTCATAACCCTGTTATACAGTATTTATGCCTAACTCCATTTAATTGTCTTTTTTCAGAGGATCCAAGTGATCCACGTCTTCTTTTCACCAGCAAAGCTATTTCTGTGAATGGTCCTTTTGGATTTCAATTTGTCTGGCTCTGGCCTTAACTTACAGAGAAGCTGCAGACTATTATAAGCTGAGACTAGCCTTTATAATATGTTTTTACAACCCTATGATTAATTCAGTAGCTGTATATAGTGAATTATCAATGGGAGCTCTTGGCTTCATATCTTTTTTTTTTAATATGCTGGAAATGATGCACAAAAATTCCCAAATGAGCAAGAGGTAAGAACCAGGAAATGACACTATTTATCTTAGTTTTGCAGCCAAGACAATTCTCTCTTATATTGGCCCTTTTAACAAAACTGTTCCCTATCACAAGTGAACTTCAATGTTACTGGGTATAGTGGTGGCTCACACCTATAATTCTAGTACTTGGGAAGTGAAGGCAAGAAGATTAGAAGTTCTAGGCTGGCATCCAAAACCTAAGGTCTTATCAATAAGCTTGGGCTATGTGAGACCTTGTAAAACAAGGAAAGGAAAGAAAAAAAACAAGAGAAAAAAGGAAGGAAGGAAGGAAGGAAGGAAGAAAGATAGGAAGGAAGGAAGGAAGGAAGGAAGGAAGGAAGGAAGGAAGGAAGGGAGGGAGGGAGGGAGGGAGGGGGGGAGGGAGGGAGGGAGGAAGAAAGAAGAAAAGAAGGGAGGGAGAGAGGGAGGGAGGGAGGAAGGAAAGGAGGGAGGGAGAAAGGGAGAAGGGAAGAAAAGAAAGGAAAGAAGGTAGGAGCGTAAAAGGAAAAGGCAGAGGGAGTAAAAGATGAAGGGAAGAAATCATAGAAATATAACATTTTTATAGTGGTTATGAAAATGGAGACATAGATATGAATCTCAGCTTCTCCCAGATCTACCACTAGACTTTTGACAGGGTTGTAGTGTTATAGAGAACATCTAGACTTGCCCCTCCTTTTCTTAAATAATATTTTATTCCATTTTATCCAGGATTATTTAAAGGTTCAAATAAGATAAACGATATGAAAGACTTCCTTCTTCCCTGGTTAGGCTTCTAACCATGGCATCCTAATTTAACGCACTTTACAAGTGCTTTCCTATTTCCAAATTTATGTTTACTACTGTAGCTGTGACCTATTTATGTATAAGTGTACTTCATTTACATACATATTGTGCTCTTTGAATTTATTTTGAAGAGCACAAAGAAAAATTTAATTTTTAATTTGATTAATGACTGGCATAATGGCAACTCATGGAATATCTCTCAGTAGTGGTAAAAATTTATGAACCAAAGAAAAAATAACACAGGTAGGCTGAATGATTCTGAACGGTAAAGCGAAGACAGAAACCACAGGGTAGAAAAGAAAGACACATGCAGTAGAAAGTATTTTTTATCAACAACTGCTCTTAATAACAACATTGACACCAATAAAATATAATAATGTTATGTATGCTATAATAAAACCCCATGACATAATACAGCCTGTCAGAATAAATTTAATCTTAGGCTCCAGTAAAGCATTTAAGAATGGATATCTTCATTTCCAAAATGTATTGTTCAATGAGGATCTTTTCTATATTGCCTTTTTTCTTTAAAGAAAAAAATCAATGTCTATGTGTGTATTTATTTGTTTCTTTGTTTTTGAAGGAAAGTGTTTTATATGTGCCCAATTAGACCTGGTCAAATTAGTTGAGTTTGACCTGATGCATAAACAATCTTTATGAAGGAACAAATGCTGAGATATAAAAAAGGACTCCAGTGGTAGATGTAATGATAGAGACATCACAGTGCATTAAATGGTCATTGTGTCACTAATACACAAAGGCAATGTTTATACTCAAGTCATACATAGAATGGTAAACTGAAACCTAGAAAGTGGCTTGTCACTCAACACAAAGCAAATAAGGTACTGAATCTGTACTTAATATGATATTGAACTTGCCTGATATAAGCACTTTTTCTTCCTTTATGCCATTATAAAAAGTGGTACCAGCCCATCTGTTTAAAGGGAGATAGCCAACCTCGGGTTTATAATTCATTTTAATCAGCATCAATAATTGCAGGCTAGCCATGTACCTCACAGTATGCAGTTGAACATTATTGGTAGAGTGAGTGGAATATTTAGCCAGAACATTTCATAAACCAGTTCCTAATAACTGTTTCCCTGAAGCAAAACACGTTAAATAGAACTTAAAATTTAAGCCACAAACCTGTTTCTGGCTCAATGGAAAAATACGGCTGTCCCTCCAAGATACTGTAAACCAACTTTGCACTGTTTCCATAAACCGGGTCGTCAGCATCAGTGGCAGTTACATTAGTGACAGACGTACCTAATTTAAAGAAGAGAGAGAGAGAGGGAGACAGAGTGAGTGAGTGAAAACAGTAAGAAAAACCATGTTATTCTTTGTCAGGTGCTACATTTTGTCAAGTATATCCTACATGAACTCATAGGAAATAAAGAACTCCCAAAATACAGAGGCACAGTTTTGTTAGAACTTCAAGAGCAAGTATTTTATAAGAAACAGTACTTCCAGGTTGAAATAGTGGATTAAGATAGCATTTTTAGTCTCTATTATTTAAGATGCCTTTGTAGTTTTCATCATAAGGATATCTATTAGACTTGTGTGAGCTTAAGGAATGTGCAAAGGAACCATATCAAAGAAATATGAAACAAAAGGTTAATAATATAATACAGCATGTAGCACTTGAGTTTTGCTGAGGTACAACTGAATGTACCTTGAAAAGTTGTCTGCTGTAAAATCCAGCACATAAATATCAAAGGAATATTTTATTCTATCACACTTAATTTCTCAGAATATAAAATAAGAGAGGAACGACCAATTAATTAGCAAGCTCAGGTAATTAGACCCATGCATAACAGAACAAAAACCTCTTCCCACATTAATCCCCTGTGTTTTATAACAACTGCACACATAGAGCTTTCCTGAATGGCAGTGTATAAGCTAGTGAAAAATTCATGTACTAAAGAGGCAGAGAGTTTTGTGGTGGGACAAAAGAGAAGGTAACAGACAAACTGATTCAGCAACTCAAGTGAATACAGGAGCAGCATGTATGTGCCCCTCTTTTGGTGTAGCTCAAACAGAATGGTCATGGACAGGATTTCAAGACAGATTACATTGAAACTAAATACTAACAAAATGTCAAGTTTGGCATAGACATGTGCATAGAGGTAATCCCAAGAAAGAACTCAAGAAATAGTAAAGGCATAGAAGATTGTGGAATAGCTTTATGACTTCTGAAACTTGGAGACCAACAGGAATCTGATGTGATTGGAATTATATATGAGGGCAAGCCCAATGTTATTGTCCTTCCTCCATTAAAAGTCATTCACAGAGTATTTAACATGTTTATTAATAAAGTGGCTAAATGAAAGCATATATTCGAATTACCTGGTGATTTATTGAAAATGCTAATGTCACAGATAATTCACAGGAAATGTGTTAATAAAAGAATACTTGTGTAATTTTTACTGCAGGGTGTCCTTCATTAACCGCTGAAGGTAAGTGTTGGAAACAAGACAAAGCAAGAGTATACAAGTTGTCATGAAACCATGACAATGACTCAAGTAGATCACATGAGGGTATAAAGCAGGGTTTGAGAGCTAGAGTGCTCATGGAGAAATGGGGCCAGACATTCACTCTGTAAAACCAAAGAAGGGGAAAATGAGATGGTCCCAGAGAATGGAACTTTGGCCTTGGGCAAGGCTGCTGTGTTTATATAAGGGTAACTACAAACTGGTGGGTTATCAGCCTTACAGAGCCAATTGATAATGCTCCTAGCATATAGGAGAAGAGGGTTTTAATCCTGAAGGCGATATATTATGCATCTGAATAGTCTATTTTCACTGTGGTTTAAATAGAATTGAGTCCTTGAAAGATCTTATCAATCAAAATGTTTTTGAGATGCTTTCAATTGCAGTCAGTGTTCAGGAAAAAAAATGTAATGACATTTGTTGAGCAGTTGATAGTTGTATAATAGAAATTTATCCTCAGAATGATGTTTCATCAGTTTTAAAGACTACAGAGCAACAACGAGTCTTGAATGTCACTTATATAAAGCACTCTATGATAAATTGGGAACAGTCCATTTGGGGTGTGTGTGTGTGTGTGTGTGTGTGCGTGTGCATGTGTGTGTGTGGGGCTGGCTTTCCCAAGTGATGTATCTATGTTGCTGGGGAAAGTTGAACAGATAGAAGGCCAATAATGACAATTACTTGAATATAGTTTAACTTGGAAACAATTGGAAGAAAAGTTTTATGTGAGGGGAAGGTAGGGAGCTAAAGTGCCAAAATAATTTTAGACAAGATGACGTGAAAAGTCTGATATCAAATATAGGGCTATAGATGTGAGCTAGGATCAAATGATGGGAAGCATTTGAATGAAAGAATATGTGTATTATATGCACCATGTCTGAAGATTGTCATTTCAGTTCCAGGTCAATTCCTGATGAGCCACATCTGCTTTCAATGCTGCCAGAATAACTTGGAGGCAAGGAAACTGATTAGGAGAACAGATCACTTATGAGGTTACAGCAGTAGTCCTATTAAGACCACTGAGACAGGATGACATAAAGTGGACGCACCTTTCAATTTCCTTATTTGTATCTGTGTGCTAAAATGGTAACCTGATGATTCAGTGAGTGCATGCTCATCACAGCTTGGATGTGTTTCATCTTAAATTGAGCTGTTAATAGTGAAAATGATAGTATCAAGTAATCTGGCCTGTTTTTGTTTGTTTGAAGACAGGGTTTTGCTGTGTAGCTAGGCATTTGCACAGTGGTCAGACCTTCAGTCTCCTTTCTCGACAGTTGCATTGGATTCCTGTATAAAATTGAATGGGAGAGCTTGGTCATTTTGGCTCTTCCACCCTCATCCATCTTCCTGTGGGACATCACGTTCTTACTGCCAGAAGAGGCAACATACTTTCTCTAAACACACAGAACATTATCTCCAAGTGTGAGAGAATTGAATTATATTACTATTGTAAAATACCACTCTATAGTATTTTGTGAGAGTGCAAATACTTTATAAGAAAGATATTATACAGTAACTATTTCTGTAGGGTACAAAATTAGCCTCCAAAATTGAAGAAATATACTGAACAGGAAAAAAAAACATACTCCAAGAATAATTTAAAGGATTGACAGAAATCAGAATGAAGATGAGTTTGAAACTCTGCACTGAAAAACACTGGAGAACTTTCCCTTGCTTTGGTGTCTAGTATCTCTCCTTTTCTTAGCAAGTGAGTTTTCTTCCCAGTGAGATGTAATACACTAACATGAAAACTTATTCATGTTTAATGGTCACTATGATATTGTGTTAGTGAGTCCAGTCACTACTAAAACATGGGGAAACAGAGGAAACAATCAAAGATTTTCTTCGAACACAGAAACCATATTCTGCAGTGACTCAAATTAAGGAATGTCTTTGAAAAATTTACTCAAATATAGGATTGAATTAAGCAGTACCTTGGAATCTTTTGTACACAAAATGAGCTAACTTGTTCTGAAAGACAAACACATATCTTTAGGCAAGCCATTTATCTTGATATAGTCTCAGATTAATTATATATGATATATGTATATGTATTATATATATAACATAAACATATACATATTTATGTATGCATGTATACATCTATAAATGTATACATATAAATATGGTTTATATAATACAGTATTACATATTATATAATATATTGTATAATGTATCATATGTAATATATTATGTCATATATTATATAACTAATACAATGGAGGGTTGAACAAATAATGTTTGTAGATAAGCCATAAATTATAACATACTAAGCCTGGGAGTAATAGCCATTCCTCTACGCTAGTTTACTACATTCCAAAAATGGTTCCCTAAGCATCAACTTATAATAGTAGGAAACAGACAGTAGAAGAGTATGCTGTTAGATCTTCTCAGACAGTTCTGATGTGAAGCAATGTTTCAAAATATATGTGAAGAAAAGTTTTTCACAACTGAAATTGCATATCTTTTTTCAGCACATTAATTTCTGTATGACTATTTGAATAATAAAACCTTATTCAGATTTGTTTCTAAAATGTAGCTTACTTAAATCTATTCATTTAGGGAAACAAGCCATGCAGACCATTTCTCACAGAGAAGAAGGTAAGAATGTGTCCTTGGCAGTTTGTCCCCAAACTAGTCTCCATGACTTCAGCTTCTCTGTCTATTGTCATGTGATGTCATTTCATTGTGAGAGGTTTCCCATCACAGTACTGTTACATGAGGAAAGACTTAGCAACTTCATGGTTCAGCTATTCATAGGCTAAGAAAATCATTTTTATTTGGCAGATTTTAAAAAGTGTTATGTACAACTTTGCTGAAAAACTACAATGTTGGAGGGGCGATCACAAAGACTTGAATCAGAACACGACTTTTATTTTCTATCTATGATTCTTTTCAAATCCTGCACATTTAGCTAAATATTTGAACTTTCTAACCCTTGGCATCCTTGTTTGTATTAACAAAGTTGGTAGCAATTTTTATACTGCAGACATGGTCAGATAATTCAGTATAATAATCCATGAACACAATGGAAAATTTTCATTTATACTATTTCTAGAGGCTTTGTGTCCTTGTTTAAATGATTCTTATTTGTACACATGTAAAACTGAATACAAATTGTTTTACAATATTAAAGATATAATAAATGAGTAGGTACATTGCTAATTCTCAGCTGATCATTACTCAATTGATACAGGAATCTATGTCAGCCATAATAAATATATATATATATATATATATATATATATATATAAAACAATAAGCTCATATGAAGGAAGTGATTTCACTATTAAAGTTGACAAAGAAAGATACAACAGCATGTAACCTCACATTCATCAGCACATGACCTCTGTCTAATCTATTTCCCATCAGTTTCTGCTTCAGGATAAATTGCTCTTGGGTCAGAAAGAGAAAAGTGTTTAATGTAGTGAGCACAAAGCCAGGCATCAGGCAACTTGCCAATACAAGTTTTCTGATGCTACTTGAATAGAAGACGCTCTCGAGATAACACTTATCCCAGATGGATGTGTAGATGCTCTCCTGGTTTGGGAATCATAACAGTGCTTAGATGAGCTTTTGCTTACATACTCATCCCAGATATGTCTGCTCAGTGTCCGCCTTCCAGAAATCCATATCCATGGATCATAGACACTTGGAAAATGTCTAATCTGTCAGGGATGTTTTTTCTTCATAGTGATTCAATACTGTTGATGCACCTGTACATTGCAATGGAATTATGGGGAGGTTTTGCGGATGCATTTGTCAAGTGATTACCCA